ATGTACTGAGAAGGGCAGATCTGTGTGTTGTCCTTTCCAATAATGCAGAACTTTGAGAAAACACTAGATAAACCTTCAAAATAACAGATTATTACTCCTTCAAAATAACAGATTCCTCCAAAGTAACAGATTATTACTCCTCAAAAGTATCAAGGTCACAAACAAGGAAAGACTGAGATACTGTCACAAACTGGAAGAGATTAAGGAGTCCTGACAACTAATAGAATCTGTGATCATGTATTAGATCCTGAAACAGAAAAAGGATATTACAGGAAAAACTCATGAGATTCAAATAAAAAGTCTATAGTTTAGTTAATATAACCTATGTGAATGTCTTAGTTTTGATAATTGTTTTATGGTTATGTAAGATGTTAACATAAAGGAAAGCTGTGTAAAAGGTATACTGAAACAATTTTTGCAATTTTTCTGTAAATCTAAAATTATCTCAAATTAAAATGATCAATTAAAAATAAGGGGCGCCTGGGTGGCTCAGTCATTAAGCGTCTGCCTTCAGCTCAGGTCATGATCCCAGGGTCCTGGGATCGAGCCCCTCATGGGGCTCCCTGCTCTGCGGAAAGTCTGCTTCTCCCTCTCCCACTCCCCCTGCTTGTGTTTCTTGTCTCGCTCTCTGTCAAATAAATAAATAAAATCTTTAAAAAATAAAAAAAAATAAGGGGCACCTCGGTGGTTCAGTTGCGTAAGTGTCTGCCTTCAGCTCAGGTTATGATCCCAGGGTCCTGGAATGGAGCCCTACATAGGGCTTCCTGCTCAGTGGGGAGTCTGCTTCTCCTCCCTTTGCCCCCCACCAGCCCCAGCTTGTGCTCTAATATATAAAATCTTTTTTTTTTTAAAGATTTTATTTATTCATGAGAGACAGACAGAGAGAGAGAGAGAGAGAGGCAGAGGGAGAAGCAGGCTCCCAAGGAGCAGGGAGCCCGATGCGGGCCTCGATCCCAGGACCCTGGGATCATGACCTGAGCCGAAGGCAGATGCTTAACCATCTGAGCCACCCAGGCGCCCTAATATATAAAATCTTAAATACGTACATACATACATGGCAATGCCAAGAATCAAATTCAGGATCATAGCTAATTCTTGTGTAGAGGTAGGTGAATGAAATCAGGGAGCTATGCTCAAGACACTTCAAGCGCCTGAGGCAGGTTTCTTTCTTAGGCTATGTGGATGGTACATGGATATTTTTTTAAAATTATGTTTATATGCCTGAAATAGCTTATAACTTCTTTGAAAAGTTTCAGACTTTTAAACTGGGTACAGACACATCTGCTTATAATTTATTCATTCACTCAATATTTAACAAGTACCTATTATAAAATGTATTCCTGTCCTTAAGAAATCCAATTTCGGCCTCTACTGAGACTCAGTCCTGCTTCTCCTGTGCTGGTTGTAGGCCAGTCTTTCTTACAACTACTCTAGTCTGCCACTGTAGCAAGAAAAGCAGCCACAGACAGCACACACATAAAGGATAGGGCTGTGTTCCAATGAGTTATTTACAAACATAGGCTACATGTAGCTTTCTGACCCACGATTAACAGACTGTAGAGAATTTAGACAGCTTTAACTAAAACTAACACACCATAGGGTGGAGCTATGACCACGCTTTCATACTTGGCAAACATTTCATATATGAAAACAAATGCACTTCCAATAGTAGATGCAGCTGTACCCACACGTCTTCCCAACTCACTTGGGAAATGATTACATGCCAATTTCACACCAAGTGTCAGATACTCATCAAAAACAGGAGAAGCAGATGGGATCTTTAAGATGGGCATTTCAACCTTGAAACTGAGCAACCCACTCCATTATTCCAGAAAAGACCTTGGGAAACCCCCCTCTCTGCTTGTTTCTCCAAATATTTGATAATTAAAACAATTTGGTTATTTTAGCTTTTATTCTGGGCTCTACCTGAGTATACCAAAATTAATTTTAAAATATTTATTACAAACTTCAAGTCAGTATTTTAAGAAGATGTTTATTAAAATCTAAACCACCTAGTTTTCTATTATTTGCTAAACTAGGGGAAAAAAATCATAGAAACTAGGTGGCAGGTGTGTGGGTGTTTCCTGTAAAACTCCCCTGACAATCTCCTCCTACTGTGCTGGGTGTGACAACAGATAGGAAAAGGAAACCTAGCTCAATCCAAGCAGTTCCAATCACTACAGAAGGCACCGAGATGGGTCTTCGGAAGACTACCAGGAATGACCCAGCAAAGAGGGCGGGAGGCAGAGGAAACAACACAGAAGCTGTTGTTATAAAACCCACCTGTGCCATGAACACCGCAGATGCTCTGTAGGGTTTCAAGCGGAAAAATAAAGGAATAAAGTTTGTTTTCCCCCTTTTACACCTTCTTTCTCTGGCTCCCATCTCTCGAGAAGTTTGAACCACTGCCCTCAAGCCAGGCTCTAGCATGAAAGGTAGAAAGCCTTTCCCCAACAACAAAGCCTCTCCTAACTGCAAGGTGTAAAGAGTAAGGAGAGTATCTACCAAGTAGGAGAGGCAGGAAGCCTGGGAAACATACTGGCAAGGTTTTACTCTATCCAGTGTCCTGCATATGGTGAAAATTTAAAACTCTCTTTGGGGCACCTGGACAGCTCGGTCGGTTAAGTGTCTGATTCTTGATTTCTGCTTAGGTCATGATCTCAGGGTCATGAGATCAAGCTCCACATTGGGCTCTGTGCTGGGTGTGGGACCTGCTTAAGATTCTCCCTCTCCATCTGCCCCTCCCCGCTCTAAAAATAATTTTAAAAATTATTCAAAAAGAACTGGTTTTCCATCTTTTTCAAACTTTTCTCTTCTACTCCACTCCTAATACCAGAAAATTCATCTGTAACTGAGGATTGCTTCAGATTTGCTGAGTTGAAGATACCAGAGTTAACCAATAAAATGGCAAAAACATACCAGCATCACATAAAACACAATCTTCAAAGAATCTGAACTCATAAGAAAGGAACTTACTTCCCAAATTGATATACCATTTAAGAGAAGGAATTTAGGAGATCTTGAGATCTGTATGCAATTCAACATGTTCTCAGCTTTTAATTTTCTTCCGATAGACATCTCCTTGTATTTGTGAGTGAAAGTTAAGAGTATAGACTTAAAAGCAAATCTCCCAAGACGATACACAAATGGCCAATAAGCACAGTATCATTTGTCATTAAATCAAACCCAAAAGATAACACTTCACACATACTAGGATGGCTATAATTTTTTTTAAAAGGAAAATAAATGTTGGCAAAGAAGGATGTGAATCTGGAACCCTTGTGCATTGCTGGGGGAACATAAAATGGTGCAGCTGCTGTGGAAAAGTCTGGTGGTTCCTCACAAAGTTAAACATAGAAATACCACATGCCCCAGTAATCTACTCCTAGGTATATATCCTAAAGAACTAACTGTAAGCAGGGACTAAGCCACGTTCGCAGCAGCATTATTCACAATAGTTAAAAGGTGGAAGCAACCCAAGTGTCCACCAATGGATGAATGGATAAATAAAATGTGGTATATATATACAATGGAATATTTAATCAGCCATCAAAAGAAATGAAATTTTGGTATATGCTACAAAATAGATGGACCCTAGGGCACCTGGATGATTCAGTCAGTTAAGCTTCTGCCTTCGGCTCAGGTCATGATCCCAGGTTCCTGGGATCGAGTCCTATGTCAGGCCTCCTGCTCTGCAGGGAGTCTGCTTCTCCCTCTGCCCCTCCTCCCACTCGTTCTCTCAAATAAATAAATCAGATCTTTAAAAGAAATAGATGGCCCTTTAAACACTATGCTAAATAAGACGAAGGACAAACACTGTATGATTCCACTTAGAAGAGGGACCTCGTAGGCATTTTCAGAGACAGGAAGTAGAATTGTGGTTACCAGGGCTGGGGGGGCGGGGGGGAGGGCAGAATGGGAAGTTATTGTTCAATGGATACAGAATTTATGTTGGTAATAATGAAAAAGTTTTGGATATACATAATTGTGATGATTATGCAACACTGGACTGTATTTAAATGCCAGTGAACTCTACACTTACGAATGGTTAAAATGATAAACAGTATTTTATATATATCTCACCAAACATAAAAAAGATGAAACCACAATTAGTAATTAAATGCTTACTATGTATATGGCACTGGGCCAAAAGAGAACTGTGTGTTCACCAGAGCTACACGAATTTGTTCTCCATCTCGCACAGATGTAGGCAAATGGGTAAGAGCATCGTGCCTTCTGTAAGGCCACATGTCATTTCCAATACAAACAGTAAAATGGCCTATTCTGAAATGCTAATCCATTTCCCAGGCCCAATCAGACCCCAAAATACAGCCTTTATGAAGATTAGCTTCAGAGGACTTGGAACACATTAAAACCAGCATACATTTTATTTTCAAGCACACAATAAACACCAAACTTTTCCAGTGCTACTATACCATGCATAAATTCTTCTCATATAGAACTGGAAGTTGTTTCTGGTGAGGTTGATGAATGATCAAGAATTAAGACACAGGAGGGGCACCTGGGTGGCTCAGCTGGTTGAGTGTCTGACTCTTGATTTCAGCTTGGGCCATGATTTCAGGGTCCTGGGATCGAGCCCCGAGTCAGGCTCCATGCTGAGTATGCAGTCGGCTCGGGATTCTCTCTCTCCTGCCCCTTACCCATCCCCCCAGCTCTAAATAAGTAAAAACTTGAGAAAAAAAAAAAAAATCAAGACACAGGAGCCTCAAAGATAAAGGAAGTTTAACATCTGACATCTTCAAAACCAAGAAATAGCATATTTTCCTTTCAAAGTAAAGGATATTTTACCTCAGCCTTCAATTCATTAAGTATTTACTGTGCAATGATCCATGTTAACCCTCCATAATTCTTCTCATACTTAATTTACTTCAAGTGAGATGAGAGCCCAACTAAAAACATGCAATTTTCAACATACTTTGCATTATTTTAAGTATTCGAGGATGCAAAGTAGAACTCTACAATTTATCTTAAAAGAAAGAGCAAGTTCCAGGAGTTTTTTATTGTTTGGCTGACAACACAAAACCAGGCAGAGAAGTCCCCAAGGAAACGATGGTCACGCTTCATTGTTGTTTGCCCTTTGGTCCTTCACCTTCTAAGCGTTTATTTTATTTTCTTTTAAAGATATCAGACATTTATTTTTATCACAAATGCAATCCAAGTGTGAATAAATAAATGTATTACATTTAACATCTGCCCCCCCCCATGTTCCCTTAAATAGAAAAAAGAGCTAAGGTGTCTCTTCAAAGCCTATTTGGCCATAGCTGTCCCACCTATGGTTTTAAAAACAGACTGTAACTTATCTTCTGAGATTCTTTCTTGAACTACAGCTCATTCTGTTAAAGAAATCCTGGGAAAGAAGTCCTATTGATATTGTCGATAGTCTCCAAAAGGTGAGGATGGTAACTGGGCTGAAGGCAACTGAGAAGGGTCTTCAGCAAACTGAGGACCTGCAATTAAGAAAGAAAGAATCTTAAAAACCACCTGAATATTACACAATTAAATAGAACAAGACTTTGTAGAGAGTAAATCAATCAACTCAATAAAAATAACGTGCTACCTTAGAGCTGTCCTCTGAATTTCTACTGCCTAATTTTCATGAGTGCCTCCAAATTTGGTAAAACATGACAGCCTGGCTTTCTTTATGCTCCAGAATGAACAGCTCTCAACTGTTATGCCAGGAAAGTCAGATGGATTAATTATAGCAAGAAATGAATTCAAGTTTTTAAAGCAATTGCTGTAACAAGCTGCTATAAAGATGGGAAAAAAATCTCACACTTCTTGACATATTTTTCAGTAGCTATTTAAAATTATTTTCACAAAGTTTAAGTACCTTAGTCATGTTTTAAGAGAAATCAGTAATCCGGTTTATACAACCAATTAGAGAATGAGTTCTGAAATGGGAAGACATCCCCTAGCTTGCTGTAGAACAGTATCTTATAATATTTAGTTTTCAAAGGATGGGAGGGCCTGTGAACTAAGAAAAAAATGTGGTTTTTGTTTTGGTTTGTTTTTTTTTAAGATTTGAGAGAGAGAGAGCACAAACGGGAGAGGGTGTGAGTTGTGGTGGGGGCAAAGGGAGAGGGAGAGAGAAACTTGAGCAGACTCTGGGCTGAGCGTGCAGATGGACATGGGCTCAATATCACAATCCTGAAATCGAGACCTGAGCCAAAACCAAAGTCGGATGCTTAACCGAATGAGCCACCTAGGCGTCCCAAAAAATATGGTTCTAAATTAAAAAAAAAAAAATTTTATGCAAATAATCACAATTATTTTATTTTGGAAATAAAATAATTCAGGGAAACTAAAGCAGACTAAAACATTAACTGTAAAGAAGAAAGAGGGCAGTGGTAAAATTCCCTGAAGCTTTCCAATGCTTCAAAATCCTGGGGCGCCTGGGTGGCTCAGTCGTTAAGCGTCTGCCTTCAGCTCAGGTCATGATCCCAGGATCCTGGGATCGAGCCCCGCATCAGGCTCCCTGCTCGGCGGGAAGCCTGCTTCTCCCTCTCCCCCTCCCCCTGCTTGTGTTCCTGCTCTCGCTGTCTCTGTCAAATAAATAAATAAAATCTTTAAAAACAACAACAACAAAAAAAACCAATGCTTCAAAATCCAATGATACATTTTTTTTTTCCACTATAAAAGCATTATCTGTTCATTTCAGAAAACCAGAGAAGATACTGGGTAAAACAGGTAAACCAAAGATAACCATTATTACTTAGATATAATTTTACCTCATTTTTCCATGGTTTTAAAAACATTTTCATGTCAGTTAATTAGAAATATATGATTAACTCTTCAAAGATTTCCCCCAACACAGTTTTTCAGAAACACATCTCCTGTCTGAAATAAAATGCACTTCCTTTAAAGATTTCCTCTGAGGAAAAAAGGTTAAAGCAAAGTAACCTAGACTAATTTCTATAAGACAATGTAACTTGGGGCTCCTGGCTGGCTCAGTCAGTAGAGCATGGGACTCTTGATCTTGGGGTCATGAGTTCGAGCCCCCAGGCAAAGAACCTTACTGAAAGAAAGGGGGAAAAAAAAGAAATGAAAAGAAAGGAAGAAGGAAAGAAGGAAAATGTAACTGATGTTTTTGTTATGTTTCTCAATTTCTGAAAAAATGAAACTTTTCTGATGTTTTATGTGAAGACTTTCACACTAAAGTGATAAAAACTAAGAAGCAAAGTTAGAATGTGCTTATCATAACAGATTATTAACTCAAGAGTAATGATTAAAAAGCAGGAACAGAAAGTGAGAGGGTCCAGGAGATCCCTAGATCATCCCCAGCATCTACTGAGCAGTGTGTTTGACAACTGTGCCAAAGAGACACTGAATCTCTTGCTAGGTGCCTCAGGGAAATCAAATCAAACTGGGAGCTATGATCTATTCCTAACTCTATGCTGAATCTTTTCCAAGCTCCAAAAATAATTTTCAACATGTGTCGCTATTCTGCCTATTTCCTTCCTCAAACGCCAGGTCAAATTTTTCCTACAAAATCCTCACGATTATCTTTTTGCTTCCTTCCAATGTCAAGGAATATTGGCCCTTTACAGACAACTGAAGTTTTCTGCAGTTACCAGAAGGTGCACAATTTAACAGCTGAGCAGATATTATATGACCATGATCACTTAGCCCACAATTTAACTTTTCCCTATATATCAGATAAAAGGAACAATTAGCAACAAATTATTTTACTAACTTCTCAAAAAAATTTTCTCTGCCAACCATAAAGTGACCCTCCCAAACATAGCCACTTTCTACCACTCTATTTCATTCTCTTCGAAGCAAGCAACACAATCAAATCTCATTTATCTGTTAACATGTTAGTCAGTCTTCTCCCACCAGAATTTAAGCCCTTGTTCACCACTATATCACAGCATCTAGAACAGTGCCTGGCACATACATGTAAGTAAGAGGTTGTTGATGGACTACCATTATTGTTACACATCTGCAAGGATCTTTCTTCAAGCGCCTCTAAAATGACTGGCAATTTCTTAGAATAAGCACATGAGCGCTGACAAAACCTGAGAACTAGAAGAAAGATCAACAGCAAACCATCTAACCAAAGCATTTTGGTTACTGTGGCTAAACACAATAATCAAATCCACATCCACCTTTTCAAATACAACTAGGGGCTATTATCGTAATCCTCACGAACCATGGCAAATGTAGAAATCACAAACTACCACATTTTAGCAGAAAAGATAGGTTCTCTCTAAATATCAGGAGGCCATTCCAGTGTTTGAGCTATGGTAGTAGTAAGCAGGAAGAAGACTCACCATTGGGAAATTGTGCAGAGGCGAATCTTGTCAACAAGATACCAGCTCCTTCAATTAAAGCTAGGAGAATGCCACCCATCGCGGCTGATCCAACCATGGCCACTGGTCCATCTAAACACATTAACAACAAAGAGGTTACCTTAATAGAAAACTAATTTAATAGAAGACTTGGTAAAGGAAAGAGCTGTCCACATGGCTCCATGCTACCCTCATTCCCAGCCCTGGAATAAAACTGGCTCACTGGCTAAAACCAGGTGTCAACAAACGAAGGCCCACAGCTCAAATCCAGCTTATTGCCTGTTTATGTAAAGTTTTATTAGCACAGTCATCCTCATTCATTTATATATAGTCTATGGCTGCTTTCATGTTACAATTATAGAGCTAAGTATTCGCTGACAAAGACCTCACAGCCCACAAAGTCTAAAATATTTACCATCTGGCCCTTTACAGAAAAAGTTTACTGATCCTTGGCCTAAACCACGAAACCCCCCAAAATTCTGGGTTGCTTTCTGTCCCAAAGACCCAGAAGATGGTTCTAAGCTCTTTATTCGTAACACTGCCAAATGGCAGGTATGATTATTAACTCTAGAGTACCAATGAGGAAACTACAGCTGGCACAAAAAGTCTGGCAAAATACCCAGTAACTTGAACTGCTCTTAACCACTGTATAGATCAGAACCCCATGCTCTCTCATTCTTAAACATTCCAAGTAAAAAGATACTCTTATTTTTCCCCCAAATCACCACATACATTCATGCTATGCTAAATTAAACAATCAATGCTCAGTTTTATTTATTACAGATATCACTAAATTAAGACAGATAAGGTTTTCCAAAAAGTCTTGCTTTTAGGGAACCTGGGTGGCTCAGATGGTTAAGCATCTGCCTTCGGCTCGGGTCATGATCCCAGGGTCCTGGGATCGAGTCCCGCATCGGGCTCCCTGCTCGGCGGGGAGCCTGCTTCTCCCTCTGCTTCTCTCTCTCTCTCTGTCTCTCATGAATAAATAAATAAAATCTTAAAAAAAAAAAAAAAAAGTCTTGCTTTTACTAGTGTGTCTATAATGATTGCTTACTTTTTCTTCTTTTTTTTATAATGATTGCTTACTTCTTGCTGCCAGTATGGCTCCTGTTAAGGCACCACTTGTGATGGAGTTCCAGGGATCTTCTTTCCCTCTGACTTGAACCATACTGCAGTCAATCATGGAAAATAAACCTCCCCAAACTGCAAAGCTACCTATTTTATTTAAAAACAAAAGAAATTTCATTTTTTCATCTTACATTTAAAATATTATAGTCAAAAATAACTTTAAATAACAACACTATATTCTTAAAACTCTCACACTTCAAACAAACACATGCAAACACAAGTTTGGATAAGCACTGAACAGTCGGAATACTTATCTTTTCAATAAAGCGTGGGTTGTATTGTTATCAGCTTGAAAATTAGCAATGGCCCAAAGCCTAAAAGAAATAAGCCAGGCCTAGAAGAGTCAGGCTAAACACATTCAAATCTCCCTTTCAGAACCAAGTATCTCTTTTTAAAAAGCAATAAACACAACAAAGCCACCCTGCTTCTTCCTTCCTTCTCCTTTTATAGCTCTACCTTACCTCTATTTTTTCTTTTCTTCATTGTCACTGAGCATATATATATATATATATATATATATATACACACATTCTATAAAAATCACCAGAAAAGATACAAAAGAAATCCAGCTATCCTGGAATGTATTATAGGTGTAGGCCAATACACGCTAAAGTAGCTAATGGATGATACAAACAGTCAGAATTATGGAACGTCAAGGGGAGGGAAATTACCTATCCTCTCTTTCTATCCTTTATTTCTCCAGCATGAAACTAAAAACCACACTAAATCAAATTACTTGGCACTTAAACTCTTCCTAAACACAGTAACAATTTTGTCAAATAAGAAACACCCACAAATACACTTACAGAAGTACACACAAAATTTTAGACAACACCAAGATTTTAACTGTCAGCATCTCTGGATGATGTAACACATGACTTAATTCCTTCATGCCTGCTTTATTATCCAAATCCTCTATCATGAGTGCACACAACTTGTACTATATGAAGAGTTGTTATATTTATTATGATTAAAGAAGAAAAACTACCCAAAAGAGCCCTAGTCACTTTATTCTCTACCCTCTGAAATCTGAAAGTAGTGGGGATATGTTAGTAAGGGCAATACCAAATGTCAGAACCAGATTGTCACCAGAATCCTTTTCCAGTTTTCACATTACCCATTAAATCTATTAGATATAACCAGCTGAAGTATAGCATAAGCCCTCATATCTAGTCCAATACTAGATACTACACACTACGTAAAAATAAACTAGTAAACTAGTTTTTCCTCTAACTCAGTAATTCTATGTCCTGAGAGAGATCTGATGCCTCGGTGTATTTAGAATGTATATTAGAATTACCTAACTAAATTCCTCAAACAAGACTCTCCCAATACCTCACAAGAGTCTGAAACCTGCCCATTCTCCAAGAATAATTGCCAGAGTAAGCTCTGGTTACTGATGAGAATGAGACTGTGTCCAAGCAGGGTGATGAGGCTGTCCACCAGAAGGCTGGCCCAGTGTGAGGAGCCAGAGCCAAAGCAGGGTAAGGAAGAGTCCTCAGCCTGGCATGGAGTTGAGTGTATCCATGTGGAAGGACGGCCTGGTGTGGGGTGCCACAGCCCAAGCAGGACAAAGATGGAGGTATTCATATAAAAAGGGAGAAAGGAAGAATAAATCTTATGCGGCTGGACTGCTGAGGTCCTGGTGTGAACTTAGGATTTTCAACATGTACGTATAAATATAGATATAAATTTGGGTAGATGTATTTATGTTGCGGTTAGTGTGTGTTTACATATATACATATATACTCCCAAGCTCTATTACAAAGAAGGCCCGGGAACAGCAACACCCCAATAGCAACGATACACTTTGCACCCAGATTTTGGACTCTAATGACCATTCTCAACTAAAAGGAACCAGAGCTCTATGGAGAAATGGCTGACTCTTTGGCTAGGCAGGGAAAATACAAGATGAGCCTGGAGTATCTTGTTCCAAAATGCAAAAGATGCCTGAAGAATAATGGGGATGTGTCAAAAGCCCCCATGAAATTTTCTCCATGAAAATATAAGGCTCTTCAGGACACAACTATGATTTTTCCATGTTGCCTGTCCCCTGGATTTTGACTAGAGAAGCTCAGTAAATGCTCACTGAATTAAACTGAAAATGTCATCCCAGTATTTTTAAAAAGCAAGACACCATAAAGATTTCTCAATAGTTTCCTTAAAAAAGCCAGTCCCAAGGATCTGATATAAACAATCCCAATTCACTCATACCACAACTCAGTCTTCCTCTATTTCACCCTGTTTAATTTTAGAATAGTTTTAGAGTTACAGAAAAGTTGTGAAGATAGCTCAGAATTCCCATATATCCCACATCCAGTTTCCCCAATTTCTAACATCTTACATTACCATGGTGCATTTGCACAATTAATGACCCAATATCAATACAGTATTAAGTAAAGTCCACACTTAACTTAGATTTCTTTAGTTTTTATGTCCTTCTGTTTCAGGATACCAAATTACATTTAGTGGTCATGTCTCCTTAAGCTCCTTAAGCAAGAGCCTGTGACACTACCTGATTGTTTTTTTATCCATTGAAAAAGTGTAATATGATAGAAGCAGCCTCTTAAAAGACATATAAAAACCTGTATGACTTCTGCATATATTGGGAGTTCAGGGTTTGGTGTGTGCTTTAATACTACTTATCATTCAACAAAGGAAAATCAGTCACTATTTACTTTTCAGGGGTATATAATTATTACAGAGGAAAGAAAAGGAAAAAGATATACCATCACTTCAGCCCTCACAGCTTCGATTTCCTCATCTGGAAAATGGGGATAATTATACACCTCTTGTAGTGTTGTGAGGATTAAAGCAATGCCATAAAACCCTTAGGAGAGTGCTTAGCACATAGCAAACACCCAATAAACGGCAGCTCTTAGCTAGGCTTCCAAAGAAAAATATGCTAAAAACAAAGACAGGACTATTCTGTCACACAAAATTACTAAGGAATGACTAAAAGTATTTAGTCTTTTTCATGTGTTCTACATGGTCTCTCCAACCTATCTTTGTAAATGAATATAGCCTCCAAGCTTTTATTTATTTATTTGAGAGAGAGCGAGAGAGAGAAAAAGAGAGAGCATGAGATGGAGGAGGGTCGGAGGGAGAAGCAGACTCCCCACTCAGCGGGGAGCCTAAAGCAGGGCTCGATCCTGGGACTCCGGGATCATGACCTGAGGTGAAGGCAAACACTTAACAGACTGAGCCACCCAGGCGCCCCACCTCCAAGCTTTTTTTATCATCTCTCTTCTCCCAACTTCTGAATAACCAAGTTTAAAAAGTATAATGAGGGCGCCTGGGTGGCTCAGTTGGTTGAGCGACTGCCTTCGGCTCAGGTCATGATCCTGGAGTCCCTGGATCGAGTCCCGCATCGGGCTCCCTGCTCGGCAGGGAGTCTGCTTCTCCCTCTGACCCTCCCCCCTCTCATGTGCTTTCTCTCTCATTCTCTCTCTCTCAAATAAAGGAATAAAATCTTTAAAAAAAAATAAATAAAAAGTATAATGAATTCTTTTCAAATTTTGCATTGACCTCTGCACAACATCCAAAACCTAACCTTGGAGAGGAGCCTGAGCAGCATCATCAGTTTCTCTCTCATGAAACCCCAATCCTTCAGATCACATTCTCTTCAGCTTTATATTACCCCAGAAGCTATCACTCCTGACTCTCATAAACCTAAGCTTTAAACACACTGTCTTCCTTTTGGATAACAGGAAAAAACAAAATACCACTGAGCACTTGAAGGACAGAGACAAAAGTTTCAAATGAATGGATGCAGCAATTCCAGTTAACTTTCTCAATAAACCGTAAATCCAGAAGAACTTACAGAGACAGTAATTTCTAACAAGCTCTTAGACTGAACTAAGCTTCATCTTCAAATAAACAAGAAAAGATATTCTGAAGTACAAATGGAAAAATTCTGCTTACCTCCCAACTGTGGAGCCCTGGTTTTAATAGCTGTCAAACTCCCCCGCAGTCTGTGGTTTACCCCCTATAAAGAAGCAATCAAAAATACAGTAGAAATACAATATATTTCCAGCTCACTGATATAGGGCTACCAGTGATATTAGCAAATCCAGATTTCAAGTGATGATAAGACAAGACCATTCACCTACTTACCACTGGAGAATTGCGAAAACCTTTTATTGCTTGAAAGATTCCACCACCTATGGTACCCATCGTAAAGGCCCCACCACAATCATCGACAATTCGCCAAGGGCTAAGAACAGGAAAAAAAAAAAAAAAGATGACTATTTCTCATTCACAAACCATAAAATTTTCTTTGCTAACACAGTAAGGGATGCAACAGATTCCAATGTAGGATCTACTGCAACCAATAAAATAAACATTTAGACAAAAGGATTCTGAACATATCCGTATCTATTAGCTCCAAGCCATAAGGAATGGACTGGCTTTAACTCCCTACTGTTAACAGTACTTAATTTTCATTTAATAATTAGCACATCTATGAACAGTTGGGCACAGAGCAAAAGTGAATCAACAACTATGCAGGAAATTACATTATAATCAACGCTGATCCAATCTCCCAGGGATCAAAGCAAGCTCTCCAGCTGCAGTAAAATTTAAAGCTGAGACCTCCCAAAATAAAGATTCAACAGGGGCAGAGGGAGACCAATTTGAACAATTTTTAAAGTTTGAAATTCTTTCTGGGTTTACTGAGTCCCATTAGCACTTGGAACTTTAGTTTATATTAGGTCCAACCATTTAACACGCTGGAATACTCTCATCTCCAATAATTAGAGGTTATATCTGTAAACCCAGTTTCCAAAAGTAGCAACCTTATACAACACAATGAAATCTGAATAATGTGATCAGAACAGAACTACTTACTATTCTAGGAATCTGGCTTATGAAAAAGTCTGTGAATGGTTAATTCATTTTTTAAAAAAGATTTTATTTCTCAGAGAGAGAGAACAAGCAGGGGGAGCGGCAGCCAGAGGGAGAAGCAGGCTCCCCACTGAGCAGGGAGCCTGATGTGGAACTTGATCCCAGGTGACCTGAGCCAAAGGCAGACGCTTAACCGACTGAGCCACCCCGGTGCCCTGGTTAAATTCATTTTAGACCCACTATAAATAAAAGCAATTTCTTTGATCTAGTTTCAAGGGTCAAATGCTACATAATGAACCTATGGGCAATCAACTTGTTCAAGTAAACTTGTGAATTCAGTGTAGTTGCTGCTGGAGAATTTGAATGAGTAATTTCTAACTTTGGTGGACAGGAATACAAAATCTTGCAGTGAAACATCATATTCTTTTTCAATAATACAAATCAGGACCTTGTACAGAATGACTATCTCATGCAGTACATATTCCAACTGTCAGCAGGATGCTTTGGGGCCTTGCTAACCAAGGCTTGCTTTTATGACCCTAAAAGCAAAATCAGCAACACCTGAGAGTTTATTAGACCTGCAGACTCACAACACTTTACCCAGGACCTACTGAACCAGAGTCTATATAGTTCAACACGATCAAGTGACTTGATTCCACTTTAATAGTGTAAGAAGCAGTGCTTGAGATTAAAAAGGATTAGGAAATTGCTTTAAGATGATAGAAACAGGTGGCGCCTGGTTGGCTCAGTCGTTAAGCGTCTGCCTTCGGCTCGGGTCATGATCCCAGAGTCCTGGGATCCAGCCCCGCATCGGGCTCCCTGCTCAGCAGGAAGCCTGCTTCTTCCTCTTTCACTCCCCCTGCTTGTGTTCCCTCTCTCGCTGTGTCTCTCTCTGTCAAATAAATAAATAAAAATCTTTAAATAAAAATAAAATAAAATGGTAGAAGCACTAATAGGAAGTATAGAGAAAAGACAAAGGAGAATGAATTAGTGACTCCCTGAGTGGTGGGCCAGTAACTTCAGAAGATCTACTCCAAATGATCTTATTAGTTGGGGTTAAAAAAATCTCTTTTGGGGGGGATTAAAAAATCTTAAAGAACAGCAGGATTCAGGGGTACCTGGGTGGTTCAGTCGTTAAGCGTCCGCCTTCAGCTCGGGTCATGATCCCAGGGTCCTGGGACTGAACCCCAAGTCGGGCTCCCTGCTCCACGGGAAGCCTGCTTCTACCTCTCCCACCGCCCCCCCCGGCATGTACAGTATATGGTGTACATGTTTGGAGGCAGAGTGGTGTGGAGGGAGGAAAAAGATTCTTATAGTCTGAGGTTGGAGGATTTGAGAAAATGCTCTTAACAGGACAGTACCGAAGATCAAAGCAGTTTTGACTAGGAAACTAACCAGACAGCTGATTTGATTGTATTGCTTCAGGACATACGCACTAAGAGAAAGCAAAGTAATAGATAAAAACTCATTATTCTTATAACATCTTTAATTCAACCACGTTAAAAAATTTACCCTCCTGCCAGCCTGTGTCATTATACTACATCCAACAGCAGCTGGTAACAACAGTCTACGACGTGCTGAATTCTTCGTACGTAAGCACAATTTAGGAAGGGGATTAATTACATTTGGTAATTTTAAAGAGCCATGAGGTGCTGAAACGCTCTGTATCCCATTTGAGTGATTTAAAAAAAGGGGGGGGGCACAAAGCAGGTAACGTGGCTACTGCTGGCAAGGTAATAATATAAAGTCCTAGGCACTTTCACAAGTTGAGGATGACATTGGTTTTTGCTCTAACCCAATAAACAGGTGATTAACCCAAATAATAAGATTTGATTTCGCTCTTAAGACCCCCAGAAGCCTTAAATTTAGGCAACCTGAGAGCTCTGACAGCAATTACCCATTTTATAACTATGTATGTGCCTGATTTACTCATGCTCTTACTCTTTGAACCTGCAAAGTGGTGAGCACAGAGACCGCACTCAAATATTGAAATACATGAATTTCTGTTCATGGTTTCTCAAAGAACACATACTACTATCTCTATTTTCCAGATAATCCTTGTCCCCCTTCCCCCCTAAGGGAGAATTCAAAGGATGAAAACGAGGCTCCTGCCTACAGGAGCTTATCCACGCCCTTTAGGTAAAAGCTCTTGTTCTATACATTTGAAATCCTTCGCCCTGGGGACACATGTCACGATACAAATAATATCTTAAGAATGGCATCCCCCTCAGAGGCCTACTGTCCATTCCTCAACACAGGAACTGAGCAAAGCGAGGCATGGGGACGTGTCCAAGGTCACCTCAGCAGACGGGATTATTACGGACCCCGCACAAGATCGACTACGCCCTGGGTTGGGAGCAGATTCCGAGGCTCCATCAAGCCCAAGCCAGGACCTCCTCATCCACCGCAAGGTCACCAGAGTGTCGGGTTGTTAGCGGAAAGGCTGCCACACGCGGCCCGGGGAGCACAGGGTTCAGAAGCCAACTGGCTGCTCTAGACGGCGCTGCCTATGGTTACCAAACCCACATCGACAAGCCTGCGATTGAGTTCAACTTGCACCTACGGGCACTGGACAGGGGAGGACGAGGACCACGGGCAGAGAGGCAGGAGAAAACAAGAACAGTGGTAAAGCTCACCAAGGTTCTCGCGCGTACTCCTCCATCTTGACTCCCCCGGCGCGAGTGATGCCGGGCAAGCTGGGTGGAGGCTGACCCCAGCGGCGGAAGTGATCTCGAGAGGAGGGCGTTAAGGTCTATGTGGATTGGTTCACCGTTTCCTCCCGCAACCAATGGGAGCCTGGACTTCAGGGCAGCGTGGGGGGCGGGGCAGAGACGCTGCGTGGCAGAGGTGGCCCCGCCCAGGTCCTCGAAGGCTGCGGGTCTGGGCTTCGTGCGCCGGGAGCAACCCAATGGCGAGGAGTTCAGGTTACCCCGTCACTGAAGGTTCCGTAGACTGAGATGAACCTAGCATTATTCCGCTAGGGTTCACCAAATTTCCTGAATACATGCCTTTTTTTGTTTTTAGTACTTTGGCTGCTAGTTGGGAATTAATGTTAGCTAATTCGCGATGGTTCGTGAAACTCTTAACCAACTACACATAGCAGGAGAAGGATTAGGGCAGACAGTGTCATAGTCCTTATAGTCACAGTGCTTGGAATGTAATAGATGTTCGATAAATGCTTTTGAAGTGAACTTACCTGGGCCATCTTGAGTGCTGTGACCAATTTGGGGCCCTCAATTGAAGGGACAACAAAACCACTTCTGGTCCACCCTTCAAAAGATCAGCAGAAAATGTGAGGGATGTTTAGCTCAGAAAGGAGGAGACCAAAAGGATGGGAACCCATCAACCTTTTTTTAGCCTACAGTCAACAAAGTCTCAGTCATGTGATGTCTGTTAAAAGAACTCTTCTCCATTCCTTTTGAGATTGACTTTAAAATATGTATATATTTAGGGCACCTGGGTGGCTCAGTAGGGTAAGGGTCTGCCTTTGGCTCAGGTCATGACCCCAGGGTCCTGGGATAGAGCCCCTCATTGGGCTCCCTCCTCAGCAGGAAGTCTGCTTTTCCCTCTACACCTCCCCCCTGCTCATGATCTCTTTCATTCTCTCTCTCAAATAAATAATTTTTAAAAATATGTATATATTTATTTTATGGAAAAAATTAGTGCAGTTCATAGGGAACTGCAGTGAAGAGCGAGGTACCCACAAAATCTTGAAAATAAGATAAGCAGATAAACTGAACCCTCCACAGAACCGAAGATTGTCAGTAAAGTGTATTTTTATGTAAAAAGAACAGTTCACACTAGTCATCTGATTTTTATGTGTAAAGTCCAAGAAGTCTTTTTTCGGAATGTGACTGTAATTAAGAACCTTTAAGTCTAATTAACTGCACAGGCTGAAGAGAGAATGTGGGAGATGGGAAACAAGAGGAGCCGGAGAGCAAGAATTTGATATTTAGTTAGCACCCCAGACCTAGTGGGTATGAATATTTCAGTAACTAGAGATTGGCATTTTCATGGGGCAAGAGTATTTTTTTCTGTTCTCACCAGGACCCAAGTGAAATATTTCTTAGTTCTAGCTACCTCCCTTTGCTCTTATTCCATATTCATTATGCAGTCTTCTGGTTGTTATTTGGTTTCTGAATAGATTTTCCTTTGAGAATTCCCTGGCTTGTACTCAAAACTATTCTTGTCCACTTAGTTTATGCATCTGCCTCTTGTGAACTGGGTTCTTTTGAATCAAATCAATCACCAGGGATGGTGATAATACTGAGTTTCTGAGTTTACAAAGCTGAGGGCCAGAATCTAGCTGGTTACCCAGCTCACTCCATTCCAGCAGTCCCTATCCGAAAGTCCCTTACTGTTCTGGGAGGCACTGCTCAGATGGCCAGCAAGTAGTCTTAGACTTCTCATTCCTCGCTTTCTTTTAACCGCAACAGATAACAGGGTGTAACATTTTTGGCTGGGTAGGGCCTTGGCCTTGGCCTTTGTTGGCTAGAGGGAGATGTCACCCGTCCCTCAAAAATATCCATTTCCATCTGAGTGAAAAAACATCTTGGAAGAAAAGAACTAAGTACTCTAGTCTCCTCCTAGTGAGTCTGAAAGAAGTCTAAGGAACTGTCGTGGCCCTCAATGAAAGAATGGTGAAAGACATGGAGGAATGATGGAAGAAAGGGGGTCCTTGGGAGAAAAGTCACAATAAAGGTGAGGGGAGTGTGAACTGGTGATTCAACACAGCAGGGTATATTGGTGAAAGTTAGTGTTCTGGGCCCCAGTAGAGACTCTTGCTGGAACCCCCTGTGATCCAGGTCCTCTGGGTATTGCTTTGGGGAAAATAGCTCCATGTGTGAACTAAAAGAACTGTGACTCTGGGCCTATTTTGCTGTGGGCTTTCCCTATAAGGGGAAAGGAAGGTGAGATCAAGGTGAGGAACAAGGTGAAGAAAGGGAAATCATCCCTCATGCCTCAGGGAACCACCTGGATGGATGAGCTCTAGGAAGAAGCCAAGTATGGCAGTGGCACTGGTACCTTCTTTCCCACTCTAAGGTAATTATCCACCCCTGCCACGCCCCCCCCCCAGTTAGCTTTTATTCATCTTCCGCTCTTGTACAGTTAGACCATTCTTGGGGGAGGGGCCACTGATCAAGGCTAAGATTGGCAAGAGATGACCATTTGATAGATATCAAGGGTGCGCAGGTAATGCTGAACCAAGAGAGAAACTAGAGGGATTATAATTCAAGTCAATTATAAGACCCCTTCTCTGTGCTCAGGATTGTCCTTAGTTTTAGGATTAGGGTGGAGAGAGTACAAAAAATATTGGTATGGTTGCTACCCTCAGCGTCCTCAAAATGTACTTGGGGAGAACGAATGCACTCTTGAGAAACACGTCAACTTTATAAAGTTGCCAAAATGTGTGACATAGAACATGGTAAGTCCTAGAGGCACTGAGAGGAGAGAGGGCGCCCTGGGGGCCTGAGTGTGCTCACAAAATGTACATGATAAACTTGCATTTAAGCCACGGCCTGAAGAATGGTCAGATTTTGATCGGTGGAGAGGAGAAAGTCAGACATTAGAGATAGAGGGAATGACAGCAACAAAGGTGGGGGCAGGAAGGAACATGGTGTTGTCACTGGATGGGTTGCTGGTCCCACAGGAGAGTAGAAAGACTAAAGCAGCGAGAGCAAAGCTCTATCAAGTGATAAATTTCTAGGGCAGAAGGCGTGGAGAATGACTGAGAAGCAAGACTGGAGGAGTAAGCTGTGTCAGGAGGTGGTTCTTCATGGAGCTCTCATGTGTCTACACATCTAAGCATTAAGAACTAACTTCCTTCAGGTTCTCTTTTCAAGAATGTTTATAGAAGCCAATGGCCTTGGATGGGACACCTGGGCGGCTCAGTTGGTTAAGCATCTGCCTTTGGCTCAGGTCATGATCCCAGGGTCCTGGGATCGAGTCCTGCATTGAGCTCTTTGCTCAGCAAGGAAACTGCTTCTCCCTCTGCCTGCCGCTTCCCCTGCGTGTGTGCTCATTATCTCTCTCTCTCTGACAAATAAATAAATAAAATCTTAAAAAAAACCCAAAAAAAACAACAGAAGAAGAAGAAGAAGCAGCCACTGCCAATGGCCTTGGAAAGCTAGAGACAGGGACTTCCCCTGGAGCAGATTTAATTACAGGATAGTAAAGGCAGAGATGTCTCCCTTCTGTCCTTGGACCAGATTTGTTGCCCTTCCAGGGTAATGGAGATATATTAGAGTTTTATCTCCTGTATTAATATAACTAAAGGATTTCATTTTAGAAGGATACAGTGAGGTAGGTCATAGGGTAAGGAAGAGGCCTGAAATAGCTTCTGTGGGAGCGTGCAAGAGAATAAACCACAAATGAGTAAAAGAACCAAGAATGCTTCTTTCTACACAGACCTAACCTATGGAGGAAGGGGGATGGCCATTTTCAGAATCTGTCCCTCCCAACCACTCAGTACCTTCGAGGGTCCTGGACCTACATAGGTTGAGCTCCATTGAGCCAGAGGCTGTGGGAGTCCCAAAGAGTTTTGTCTACCAAGAGGTCACAGGCCATGTATGCGGCTCCAAACCTCCCAGTCCTGCCTGGTCCAGTCTGTGAGACACTCAAATTGGCATGGACAAATGAGGCCTGCACCACAGCTGACTTTTGGGTCTAGGGATGCAGTCTGTACCTGGCGCCTCTTTGGTGGGCAGAGAGGTTTTAGTCAGGGTGAAGGTGGGGGAGGTGATCTCTTGTGTCTACTCTCTTGCCCTCCCCCTTGCTCTCCTTCCGGGGGGACATCAGTCTGGCCTGTGCTGCCTCAGACCTCCCTCTAACCATGTCCACGCACCTCAGGAGTGCTGGGCCAGGCCAGTGGCTTCTTTCCAGAGACAAAGTCTGCTGCTCTCGAGAAACTTGCAGCTTCCCCCCCAAGAAGAGAACCAGGGTGATTCTATACAGACTAACAATATATTGAGTGCTCATAATGTGTCTGATGCTGTGATGCACTTAGCATGCATTATCTTATTTAATCTATTTAATAACTCCATAGCCCTGTGCAGTAGGTACTTTTTTTCCCCTTCAGGTAGGTACTTTTAATGTCCTCCTGTTCCACTTGGGGCCCATAAGGCTAAGAGAGGCCAAGTAACGTACTCAAGGTTGCACATCTCAGATTTGAGCCCACGTCATTTGACTCCTGAGCTTGTGTTCTTATCTGCTATCCTATACTGCCACCCTAGATTCCTGAAAATGTGCCTTTCCTGGTCATCCAGCCCAAGTAAGAACCACCCTAAGCATTAGTTAAATTGGTTCTGGTTCCCTATGCCCAACCCCCCACCACATATTTGGCTATGAGATTGGGGTCTCTCTTTCCTCCTTTCTCTCCTTTCTCTCCCCTTCATTCTAGCACAAAATTTTTCTCGGGGAGGGGGGCTAGGCCATGCCAGAATCCCCTGACAATCAGGATGTATTTGTTTCAGGTGGAAGTGGATAATTATTGCCCCCTACAGAGTCGGGGGCAGTGGTCCCTCACCGCAGGGGCTGGAGGAGACTGTACTCATGGGCTCTGTGGTTCTGAATCTTCCGGACCCCACTGTGATGCCTTTCAAGGGAAGACTTTCAGAGTCTGTGAGCCCACAGTCCCTTGGGCCCTAGGGAGCAAAAAGCTTCAGACTGAGTCCTATCAGAAGACCCCTGTTTGGAATTGCAGGACCTGACAGATTGTAATTATTTTTGTACTCTCACCCTATAGTGCCTGGTAGGCTATGTATACGTAGCAGTATCTGAGTAATGCTTGAATGAATGAATGAGTGAGAACCAGGTGAGGGTGTGTGTGTGTGTGTGTGTTGAGGGTAGTTACTGCTGAAGGCAAGAAAAAGATGAGAGAAGAGGTGGGATGGGGAGAAAAGAACCCGGGAAGCGAGTAAATAAATAATTGTAAATAACTGTGAAAAGTTAAGATAACTGCTAATAATTATTGTGCGTTTACCATATATCAAGCATAACAACTAACTGTCTCATGGGTATGTTTGAACGTGATGTTCACAGCAGTCTTACAAGGTTGGTACCAGTGCTGTCCTTGTTTTACAGGTGATGAAGCCACGTCTCAGCCACATGACCGGTGAGTAGCAATACCTCAGGGCTTTTGGCCTGGAGAGTCCAGGCTGAACTAGGAAACCAGCTTGCTCTCCAGCCTCCCCTGTTGTTCTTCCTTATGGCCCCTGGACTTCTCTTTTGAGGCATTTTGTAGGCCTTTAATTTTTTTTAAGATTTTATTTATTTATTTGACAGAGAGAGAGATAGCGACAGCAGGAACACAAGCAGGGGGTAGTGGGAGAGGGAGAAGCAGGCTTCCCGCGGAGCAGGGAGCCCAATGCGGGGCTCGATCCCAGGACCCTGGGATCATGACCTGAGCCGAAGGCAGACGCCTAACGACTGAGCCACCCAGGCGCCCAGCTTTTAATTTTTTAATGACTTCTTTGAAATTATTTATTTATTAACTATCTTCACTGATGGAAAGTGAGCTGCAAGAAGGTAGGGATCTCTCTTTTCTTTTCTTTTTTCTTTTCTTTAGTAGTTTCCACACCCAACATGGGGCTTGAACTCACGACCCTGACATTAAGAATCAGATGCTCTGCCGACCAAGCCAGCCAGGCACCCCAATTTTCCATCTTTAGTTACATGCCTTGCCCTTAGAACTGCACCTGACACATAGTAAGCACTCAATAAATACATGCTTCCCAACTCACCGACAGAATGACGACTGCCTTTTAAAAATGACAGCCCCCAGGATTCCGTCAGCCCATCTTCCACCCTGCCTCTCAGGTTTACCTGCCTCACCTCTGCACTCTAGTCCTGCCCGTCAGTGCCATCCCCTCCTCAGCCTTAACCTAAAGCTGGACTACTGGGCATTAAATGCAGGGCCAAGTTTTTGTCCCAGACGATCCGTGGACTCAGCAAATGCTGATCAGGTGACTGTCTCTCTCTGGCTTAGGATGGAAAGACGCCAGGAAAGATCGAAGCATCTACCCTGATGGGTTACACCAGGGCTTCTAGAAGGGATTTTGTGGCAGGAGGGAGGGGGGGAAGGAGATTGAGTGTCTCTGTGACTTGTGCAGGCAGCATGATGGATGAGCAGTGGAAAGCCCTTTTATGAAACATGCCAGGCCCTCTGCAATAGTATCCCTCCCAACAGCCCAGAATTATATTTCCCTGAAGACACACTCAGTTGTGCTCTGGATTTATGTGTGGGTGGCAACCTCCTGGCTCCTCCTCGGCCCTCCCGGAGGAGGTCTGTCTACAGATCCCCCAGCAGAGGAAGAAGCAGATGAGAACGGAGGGAGGTTTGAACCCTCTTCCCAAGAGCCTTGGCGCTTCCTGGAAATGGACAGTCCTTTAAGAGTTCCCTGACTTGTGTGGGTCATACTTTCTCCCCAGCCTACCAGTTTTCAGTTTGGGTACACAGTGAAGATTTATTTTCTCTCTCTCTCTCTCTCTCTCTCTCAAAAAGTGGCTGAGCCTCTGATGCTCGGCACTCAGGTTCTCCTGTGCAGAGAGAGTGGGTGGGCGGGTAGTTCGGAGTATCTGGAATCATGTATCTTTCCCGTGGCTGTAAACAACCGGGAGTCCCCAGCACATTACCAAATACAGTAGAAAGGAGTCAGTGGACCACGCACCGACCCCGGCAACATCCAGCCGGGATGCAGAAGTCAGATATGTGCTTGAGCAGGGCATGCTTGGAGTTGGCCTGTTCCTGACTGCCCCCACCCCCCACCCCCATGGCCCCCGTCTCTGCTTTTCTGGCTCTCCTGTGGCTCTGATCAGCTTCTTCCAGCCTCTACATTTTTGTATCTTTTTCTCATTGCGTGGCCCCCTTGTCTTTAAAAGGCTAAATGCTCCGTACTAAATTTGGTCACACAGAGCTCCAAGATTCCCTGGAATGTCCTCAAGTTTCAAACAGTTCTGACAGCGAGGCAGGCCCGCCCCCTGTGTGGGGATTGGCTTCTCCTTTCAGGGCCAGGCTGTTGTCAAGTCTTATTGGCCGCTGGTTAGACCAGCCAGGGTCCACTAGCCCTGGGCTTGGGAGCTAGCTTGCAGTTAACACTTGGGCACCTGTGGCTCTGCAGGGCAGGGCAGCGGAGCCACGTCCTCAATCAGCTGGGGGTCTGCTCCCAAGCCCACTCTGCTCCATCCAGACTAGCTTGTGCCCCCCCAGGACTCCCGTAGCCCGCCCCCCCGCCCCCGCAAGAGCCACAGCTCACCTTGCAAAGATGTCCAAGGTAGCCAAGTATCGCCGGCAGGTGAGTGAAGACCCTGACATCGACAGCCTGCTGTCCACCCTGTCTCCCGAGGAGATGGAGGAGCTAGAGAAGGAGCTGGATGTGGTGGATCCGGACGGGAGCATTCCCGTGGGCCTGCGGCAGAGAAACCAAACGGAGAAGCAGCCCGTGGGCACGTACAACCGGGAAGCCATGCTCAACTTCTGTGAAAAGGAGACCAAGAAACTTATTCAGAGGGAGATGTCCGTGGATGTGAGTGAGCAATATGCTAGAGGGAAGGGGGAAGGGCAAGGAGGGGAGGGAGACCCGAACTCGTGACTAGGATGCTTCTCTCCTCAGAGGAAAAGGTCTCGTTGGCAAAAGATGTAACGCTTCAGAACCGATTACCATCTGCTGAGCGGGCAGTGTGAACCTCTTACCCCTAATTTCTGTTATAAAGCACAAGTTGGCTCTGTCCGGAGAACTCAGCATCCCACAGTGGCAGATAGGGCTGCTAGAATGGGAGCTGGAGAATGCCCTTGAAGCGTTCATTGTCAAGTTGATTCCGTACTTGTCCCCCCGTGCTTTTTTCCCCCTGCACATTCATTTCACCCGCTGTGGGGAGGAGGTAGAGGATAGAATGATGCTTGCAGTCTCTTGGCAGCAACCCCAGAAAAGGAAGTCAGGCCTCCTTGCAGAACTGCTCGTTTTGAAGCCCTCTGGCCCTGTGGGCAACTCGTGGCATGCGGACCATTTGAGGAGGCTCAGGGGCAGATGGGCTTCCCAAAGGAATGGGAGTCAGGGGTCAGGGGTCTGTGAGGTGGGAAATGCATCTTCACCTGATGGCTTCAGTTTCCCTCCCAGGGAAGTTGGGGTTTGCACTTCCTAGAGGAGCATCTTGAGGGAGTATCCCCTCATTTTGGTCATACAAGCCAGCAAGGTCCCTTTGCTAGGGGATAAAGATAGTTCCCAGCAGGGTTTTGCCTTGAGGAGGGGCCAGTCAAGGAGGGCCATTTTGGAAACATCTGCTGACTTTTAGGATGGGCTTAAGCAAGACCTGCTTTTTGTTTTCCTGGCTTGGCACGGAGGAGTCCTTTATTCATCATGTGTTCATATGTGAGTTTTCTTGGGACAAACTAGGCTAGCCTCCACCTGAGTGTGACTCGTAGAGCCCCTTGTCCACTGTAGAGAGGGGTTAGTGGGGAAACTGTGCTGTCTGTGAGCCAGTTCTTACTGGCCACGTCTCTTGTCCTTGTGGATTCTTGCATGAGAAAGTTCAGTCTCAGTTCTTGTCCTTTGTTTTACTTCTATGGAAACCAAGACCCAGAGCTTCACATGATGTGTTCATTCTCCCAAAGGAAATGAGAAAGGCAATAGTATCTCCTGGAATTTCTGTGACATGTCTGGCTGGGTCGGAGATTGTGCCGGACACTAGTCATGGAGCACGTTTGCGGACAGAGCCCTGGCTCCTTGAGTGAAGGGGTGGGGAGGGAGGGATGAAGGAAAGTGAGGTAGAGGAGCTGGACCTCTGCCTCCACCCCTACCACCCCGGGCCCGTGTTCAAGGCTTCCCCCAGAAGTTGGGAGTGAGGGGAGTCAGAAGGCTCAGAAATTCATTACCCTGTGCGCAAGGTGATCGCCACTCGGATGATGATGAAAAGATACTAGAACATTTATGGAAAAGATGAGAGGATATGGGGCGCTCCCTGTGAGGGCCTGGTACTTCAAGACAGCTAACAGGACATGTAGGGAAAGCCACACAGCATGCCCAAGGCTTTGGCGTCTCTGTAAATGCCCCGCTTGGACCCCCGACTTTCACTCTGGAGCCCGGCCCTGCTCTTGCCTCACTCCTAGTCGCCAGACTCTGTGCCCAGTGGCTTCTGGTATGCAGAAACGTAGTCCTGAGGCTAAAGGCAAATGCAGAACATTCTTAATCCCCAAGCAAGATGCTTAGGCTGTGGAGAGTGTGAGGGACTCTCAGGCTCCTGGAAATTGCGTTCTCAAGAGGCTTTTTCCTCAGCCCACTGAAACCATGGCAAGCCTCGCCCTCCCGGTCCCACCCCCTCACCCCTGCCAGGTGCACGCTTGTTTCTGCAGACAGAGTCCGAGTCAGGGAATGGAGGGTGTGTGTGTGTGTGTGTGTGTGTGTGTACATCTTCAGCATGAGAAGATGGCGTCAGGGCCATTTTTCCCTTAGAGGGATAGGCTGTCCCCATTCTTCCTCATCCAGTCCAAGGGCATATGTCAGCAGAGTGCCTGGGTGGAGTTCTGGGTGATCCCGAGCCATGAGCAGAAGTCATCTCTGTAAGTCTGGATGAATGGCAATGAACCCTACAAAGTGACTTCTTTAGCACCATTAGCAAGCTAGTAAGTGTGGGATTAAGAACTTGTTTAAGTGCCAGGAAAGCCTGGTTTGAGTACCAGTGTCTCTTCCTAATAGTATAAATAAGTAACTTACAAGTTACCCAGTCGCCTCCCTTCCCTCAGCTACACAGTATCCAGCCCGGAGGATTTTTGTAAAAAACGGAGAGGACAATAGTGAAAAGCACTTAGCACAGGACTTGGCTTATAATAAATGCACAATAAATGGCAGCTATGGGGCGCCTGGGTGGCTCAGTTGGTTAAGCAACTGCCTTCGGCTCAGGTCATGATCCTGGAGTCCCTGGATCGAGTCCCGCATCAGGCTCCCTGCTCGGCAGGGAGTCTGCTTCTCCCTCTGACCCTCCCCCCTCTCATGTGCTCTCTCTCTCTCTCTCTCTCATTCTCTCTGTCTCAAATAAATAAATAAAATCTTTTAAAAAAATAAAATAAAATAAATGGCAGCTATGCAATTATTAATTCACTGCTGTCTCCCCCTGCCCAGCCCCTCCCTTCTGTCAGTCCTCTGAGGGCTGAGCAAGCCAAGCCTGTCTGCTCAACTAGGGGTCAAAGTAAACAATAAACGAACGAACCCTGGATGCTCAGGCTGGGGGGCCTTTGACACCGCAGTCACAGAGCAGCTCCAGGTGGGGGCTCCAGGCCGCTGGACTGGCGGTAGCTCTCACGGCTAGCGGCATTTGCTCCCTGTAAGGAACTGACTGGAAGTTAGTCAAAACAGTAACTCGACTCTAGGAAGTGCAGCAAGGTGACCATTTACTGAGAATCTTCTGTAGGTGAAGCATATTCACCTCTTCCTTTATTTAAACCTCACACTTCTTGGGAGATAGGTATGTTTATCGCCATGATACAGAGCAGAAAATTGAGGCTCAGAGAAGTTGAGTAACTGCCCTAAGTTCACACAGCAACAAGTACCTCCCCACCACCCCAGGCTTTAAGGACAATGCTTCCTTCTCTCTGCCTCACCAGGGTACGAAAAAGGGCAGTCGTGCCAGGCCCCCATCCTGAGGAGTTTATCATCTAATTAGGATCACAAGACACACACGTACAGAACCCCCACGGAGGTGTGACGGGGCTCAGACCACAAAGTCCTATGTTGCCTTAGGAGCAGCAGGTTATCACATCGTCTAGCCTGGCTGAATGCTCGTCCCTGCCCCCAGGACTGGGAACATAAATAGTAAAACCAAGCGTGGCCTGGGGATTCAAACTCTTAGAATCAAGTGTGGATTAGGGAAGTAAGTCCTGCCAAGATATTGGATGGCGTTAGGAATTTTTGTTAATTCCTTTTGGGTGGGATAACGGTATTATGGATATACTTTTTAAAGGATCCTTGCCTTTTAGACACAAATCCTGAAATATTTATGGGGAAAACTGATAGGATTAGGGCATTTGCTTTAAAATAATGTGGGTAAGGGGAGTGGTAGGGGGATAGATGAACTAATATTGTCCACCAGTTGATAATTGTGGAAGCTGGGCGATGGGTCTGCACGTGTGCCCGTTACATGGTTCTCTCTACTTTTGTGTGTATGCTTGACATTTTCCATAACAAAAGGTTGGTTTGTTTTTTTAGACAGAAACTGAGAGTGGAGGCAGGCCGAGTTTGGGTCTTAAGTTCTGGTTTCTCCAGGGGAGGAGGAGTCCCAAGATTCATACTCTGGCTATCGTGCCGGGTGGGTGTAGACTGTGCAAGGGGCCTCGGGCAGCACCTCCCTCACTGGATAGAATACTCCAGGGCTGTCCTGGATTGGTTTACCCCCTGCTTCATGAATACTCCTCTCCCCAACCCACCCCTGTGCCTCCTTCAAGGTCTCAGGCACCACTTCCTCCATGTAGTCTTCCCTGACTGCTGGGCAAGAGTAGGAGCCATGTCTGATCTGAGCACTCCAGTGCCGCTCTGGACCAACCCCATCCTGTTTTCTTATCTCTCTTCCTCACCAGCTTGTGTGATTCTGGTGGACAAGTGCTAACATAGGGCCCAGCACAGAGGTGGGCCCTCAGGCTCTGTTTGTTGAATGAAATGTTAGGAGGGGGAGGTGGGGCTTGGCAGAGCTGACCCCTGGCTTCACTCCCTCCCTTTAAAGGCACAGACCTCTCAGCCTGTGTGTTCTACCCTAGTCCTTCTGGGACTCTTCTTCTGCCCAGGTAGAACACAAGGCCCCCCCTGGGCAGGTGTGTGGCCAACAGTTGAGTGAAACCCTTGTGCTTGGCTCAGGTTTCAGGAACCTAATCCCAGCAGGTCAACTCATGTGTTCTCTTTCCTTCCCCAGTGGGAAAGAAAATCTCCAGCCTGCCTCCCTGTCCTTCTCCCTGGTGTTACCAGGGGCTGGGGATTAGCACCTCCACCCAGCCAGAAGCAGGGGCAGCTGAACTGGGGGGTGGAGGAAGCTCTTTTAGGTTCTCCCTTGAGAAGCTAACCAGAAGCACCCCACTAGCCAGTCACCCAGCCTCCTGACCTTCCCCTCGGGTCTCTGGCTCACCCAGCCTAGCGGGTGCCCTCCCCTACCAGGCCCAGCTCATGGCCCAGTGTCCATGGCTTCTCTACTGGGATGGGGATGCCGGGCAGGCCCGAGGCCGGCAGCACAACCCTCTGATTACCCTTTGCAGAGGGCTGGGCCCTATCAGGAGTGCCCTGGGCAGCACGGCTCAACGATTAAGGAGATTAACCCCGACTGGTACACACCTAAAATAGCCCTGGAGCCTGGGGTGGAGAGGGCAGAAGAGGTGAGGGGGGCCTGTAGACCTAGGGAGGCGACAGCAGATACCCAGTCAGGGTTAGACAAGTTTAAAAATCTCCCCCTGGAGTCTGAAAGGTGCCTCCATCCAGAGTTTAAAAAACTAGTTAACCAACTTCTTAAACTAGGTGGTGGGATCCACAGGTGTTTGTTTTCAGTGTTGCTC